CGTACATACGTACATATGTATATATAAATATATGTACATATATATATATATAACCCAGAAACATACACATACACCGAAGCGAGCGAGCGAGCGAGCGAGGGAGAGATAGAGAGAGACAGAGACTTATATAGAGATAGAGATAGAAGATAGAGATGGAGATACGAGCGGGGTGAACTAAGTCATTGTGCGCGTGGATAAGGGGAACCGCTGATCATTACCACTGCTGCCACTACTGCTACGGCTGCTGCTGCCGCTGCTGCTGCTGCTGCTGCTGCTGCTGCTGGCGCTGCTGCCCCTGCCCCTGCCCCTGCCCCTGCTCCTGCTATTGCTACAAGTACGCTTAAAAGTGGTGATCCTGCTCTTGCTCCTGCTCCTGCTCCTGCTACAAGTGATGCTACTGCTCCTGCTCCTGCTTCTGCCTTGTGAAACAGAGCGTGTGCACGCACGGGGAATAGGAATCTCTTGTTCTCGGAAGGAGTCTCGGTCACCATGCTTGGCGCTGTAGACGCATCTGAAGGGCGCGTGTCCATCGGGAGTCCCATGTTCTCGGCATGTTGTGATCTACGAAAAGCTTGCCGTTTGCAGTGCCTGGGCCTGATTACTGTTGTAGTGAGGCTTCGCCCGAAAATGCTTGCGACACCGCGTGTCAATGGGGATTCCCTAGATAAACACAATCTGTGCAATGACTTCTCGGCCGCGACTTCACTTTATGCAGCGTGGCCCGGCAGTGCCGCGACTTGTTGAACGCTGTCGCGACATAAGTCAACCCCCTGTAGAGATCGAGATAGAGTAGAGAGAGACAGAGAGAGAGGGAGAGAGAGAGAGAGAGAGACATAGAGAGAGCGAGCGAGCGAGCCGAACCCCGCGGAACTGTGTCGAATACGCTCCAAACTCTCCAGGGTACTGTGTAGCATTGGCCCCACAGAAGGGAAACCACATCCCAACACATCCGGCCTGCCCCGTGTCCGCTGGACGCAAGTGGAGCCTCCTCCTCAAGATCGGAAGATTTGAGGATTTAAGGCTTGCGGGAGCTTCTGAAGGCAACATGTCGGCAGCAAAATGCCTGAAGCGCAAAAGAGCTTTCAGTTTTTGACCTCGGTCCTGTCGCTGACGGCGCAGGGCAACAGCTGAGCGGACATGGAGCAGCAGAACCTGTGCAAGATGCGGACGGAACTGAGAACACGAAGCAACGCAGAAACATCCTCTTGGAGCCCTCAACAAACCCTCCAGGGGAGGATTGAAAGAGGGCATCTTACCCCCCAGAAGCATCTTCATCTAAGACAAAGGCAACCTCTTTGACATGTTTTGTGCCAGCCTCATCCATCTCTGACCCCAGCCCCGAGGCTCCCGCACCTCCAGGGCGGTGTTCTCACTGCCATGCAGACTTGTTGTACAATGTCATTTCGGTTCACTGTCCCGATCCGGTTTACCGTCCTGAAGGGTTCTGTATGCCGGCAGTGACTGACGGTTGGGCATTCTTCAGTCATGCCTATCTGGAACTCGAGCACATGGCACCGCTTAAGCCCTGAACTCTGCAGCCAAATGCCTTTATCTGGATGAATCCGAACCCCGCTAAACGCTGAACGGAAGAAGGCCAAGGCTACTGTTGCGAAGAGAACCACACCGCCGTTGGCGAGGTAGTAGTCGTTGCCATCATCGCCATCGCTTTCGTCATCGTGATGGCCTAGCCCACTCCCACCAACAACAACACCATCTCCATCATCCCCACTGGATCATGACCGCCCTCCCTACGACAATCCATATCATCAGTAACAACATCAGCGTAATCATCATGACAAAAGTCATGGCCAACAAGGCCATCGGAGCAAAACTGCACACGTTCACCGAAGTGGTCGTAGTCGTTGAAAACAGCGATCGCCATGACCAGCGCCCTCTGGATCGTCTAGTGAGACTTAGCACCTTCGTCTTCGTTGCCAGCACAATCATCCTCACACGTTGGTGAGACCGGACATGATCATGGAGATGACCGTGTTCAGGAGCAGCCTATGCATAAACATGACCAGAGTCAGCTAATGAGTGACAGGTGAACTACTTGTCGAAAGCTTAGCCCTTGTGACAGCAGAGTTTAAAGTTGTGTGTGCCCAAGAAGTGGGATCGTAAGTTTCCTGCAAGAAAATCATGTAGTTCCGGGCTCTCGAAAGTCTATGGCTCCGCTCCTCAACCCTGAAGGTAGAACCACAGTCACCGACACGAAGCCTTCGGCAGATCCATTTAGCGACGCTGCAGCAGATCCTGGTGGTTATTTCTGCTGCGGACTCAGACCTACCAGAGGGCTTAGGATCGCTGCAGAAAATTGAGCGAAGCACATCCAAGGAGTTTGCCGCCCTACACCCGAAATCCTAGATTCCTAGATCAGCTACACAGGTTTCCTGATTCGGCTGCTCAGGGTTACGGCGATACTTCTGGGATGAAGACGGCATATCTCAGATTTGTGCATTAAGGAGGCAGCGGTCTAAACCCAGAGTCTGCAAGCGAAGCCAGCGAAACCAAAAGCCCTCAACGATACTTGAGCTTCGATCAGGGGAAGCATCGTGATGCCGGAGCCAGCTTTAGATGCTGCAAGCTGTTATGGAGCCCCTTGCAAAGCGAGCAAGGGCAGCATATAAGGGATCGGAGTCTGTATGGGGTTCACCAAAGTAAGAACCGTGCCGCTAAGGTTCTATGTGGTTCATGCGATTTTTTGTGAAACTCTCGTTAACCTCCGACACAATGTGACAAGTCCGAACACACTGTTACTGAATCCGGAAGTGGCAATAATCAAAGGGATGTTTCACAGAACACCAAAGACACGATGGTGATGAGGCGATGGTGAAGTTTGCGAAACTTGATCCAGCCATGTGTGCTTAGCTGCACAGTGTGATTCAAGACTGTTGACACAAGTACGGCGACCCCGAAAGAAGCGTGTGAGGTAAATTCCCCTAAACCATGGCGCCGAGAGTCGGCAGCGGAGCTCCGCGACGCTGCGCAGCCTCGCTGTGTGGCGGTGGCGCAGTGCAACAGCGAAAGCGGCACCTTCTCTTCAGCTTTCGGGTTCGGGTTTACGGTCTGGGGTCTAAAGTTTAGAGCATTGACTGCTTGGGGTTGGATGCTTTCGGACCTCAACAGTCGATATCCGATAGTTACGACGTTTGCGAGCTGGAGTCCTGTCATCCAGTCAAGATTTAAGAACAACGGCCCGCGCATTGCATTACATCAGGCAAATGACGACGATGTTGATGCGGACGACAATTGCAAGATGCTGAATACAAAGACGGCAACCTCAGCAAAATGTGACGGCGATGGCACAAGTGAAAAGCTAACCGTGTCCAGCTGCCAGGAACTTTTCGCAACTGCTCCGGGGGTGGAAACCCAACCAGGAAGTCGTCCGCATCCGCAAAGGCCTCGCTCACATCGTCCTTTGTCGGCCGAAACATATTGTAGTGAAGTGATGTAATGATGTAATTTTGTATATGATTGAAGTCAGGTCGCTGATGGTCTTCTGCTGACAATGCTGCAGGGGGCTTGGCTGTTTTATCGCCTGTTTTGGGTCTCTTCCTCACCTGCTTCCGTGTTTGGACTTTTCCGACCACCCTGTCTGGGGTCCCTTACCCACCTGGTAGGGTCTTCCCCCGAGCTGCCCACCTGTCCGGCTCGTTGTCCCACCTGCCTACACTGTCTGTGGCCTCGGGTCCCTTACCCACCTGCTCCGGTCTTTCTCCGACCTGCCTACCCTGGCTGGGGTCCCTAGCCACCTGCGTAGGTCCTTCTCCAAGCAGCCTGGAGTCCCATTCCCATTGTTTGGGTCTTGTTTTGTCCTGCCTGCCTTCTTCGTGTCTCTTTCCCCTCTGGTCTGGCCAGAGGGGCCAGGGTTGTGGGGAGAAGAACGATTGGGAAAGCTCAACTTTCAATTCACACGTTCTAGAACACGCTCGCTCTTGTAATCGTAAGGTGTTGGCTGCAGTCCTGACAGAGTTCTGGGAAGGGGAACGTTTGGCAAAGGAGGTCAATTTTCAAGTTTCGAGACTTCTAAGACACACTCGTTCTTGTAACCGTCAGGTTTCGGCTGCAACCTTGACAGAGTTCTGGTCTCCCCTCCTTACCGGTGGCTCATTGACGCAAAACGGCCATCGACTCCCCGCTTCGCGTCCTTTTCCTGCCTTTCCCGGGTCTCTCGTCCCCCGTCTTTAGGTCCCCTTCCCACCCGTCGCGAGGTTTTGCCTTTTGGAACAAGCGGAAAAAAGACCCGAGCTATAAACGCGGTCGTGGACTCGCCCCTTTGGATTTTGTTCCGCGTTGTCTCGCGTCCGTCCCACCTGTCGCAAGGCTTTGCCTCCTGTCCCTCGCGGTTGTGTATATTATACTGTACTATCAAAGTATACGGTGCTATTGTAACAGAAGGTTCCGTAGTGGGTGCCATGTGGGTTCTGCAGCGTCTAGGGGCCGGGTCCTCAAAATGGGCGCGTCGCGCCTGTTTGGAGCTTTGGAAGGACCAAGCCCGTTTAAGAAATCTTCAAAGGCCCTTAATCACAGCAAAACAGCCTCGAGAAGCTTCTGGGTACACTAGCCATAGTTGCGCTCAAAATAGCTCGAAAGCTATCTCTGTTCTGGGGGGGGGNNGGGGGGGGGGGGTCTGGGGGGGGTATAAGAAACCTATGGTTAAACATGCAGACATGCAAACAGTTTCCAAAGTGGACGTTCTGAGGATCGACAGGTGTAAAGTGGGGATTCTCACAACGAAAAGTGGGGTTTCTGGTTGCAAAGCGGGGTTAATCTCACTAGCCCTCCTCGGATGTTCACGCGCTCCTTCCGTTTCGGTGCTTCAGGTACCAAAAGATTCAGTGGAGTCCCTCGTCGGGACTCCTAAAAACAACGCCGTGGACTCCCCCGTTTGGGTTTGTTTCCTGCCCTCCTTGGGTCTCTCCTCACCTGTCTTGCGGACCTGAAAGCGTAAACAAAAGACCTGACTTCTCCCCCACGACATGCTCTCAGGGAGCCGCGCTCGGCCAGCCCCCCTCCAAATTCCTCCCCTTCGCTGGCATAGTTCTTTTTTCCACCTCCCTCCCCCCCCCCCGCCCCCGCCGCTCTTTTTCCCGCTGCCTGGGTCTGTGTCCGCCTTCCCGAGGCTGAACAATATAACCTGGCAGGTGCATTAAAAGCCCAGCCATGCTGCAAGAACTGTAGGACTCTACGGTCCACGACCTTGAACTCCTTGCCTACGCCCGCCCCTGCAGCCCCTGTCAGACTCAATGCGAAACCCTGAAGCCTGCAGTGGTTGTGGCTTCTTCAATGCATCGAAAGCTCCTCCCGTGGGCGTTGCAGCTCCTCCGCGAGGGTGGCTCAGAGTCTTTGCCTACCGCTTCCGAGCCTGAACCTGGCTTGGCAGCGCAGACACGTAAGGGCTCCTCCAGGTGCGTGGAAGTTCCGCTGATGCGGAGAAAGCTCTCCCCGAACTCGGGTGCCTCTGCTGCCATGCCTTCCAGTGTGGGTCTGATGCTACGACTGCTTTCCGAACCGATGCCACCGGGCTGGCCTTCGAGCAGCCGCTGCTGTTGTTCCGTGGAGCTGGTCTGCAGCCTTGCGAGGCATTCTTGTACTAGCAGCCAAGAGCCCTCGCAATCACGACATGATACCGCGTTCGGCTACTGCCCTAAACCGTTTGTCACAAGATAGCTGGCAATCGTCAGTCAAAGCGGCCAGACTGCAGTCCAGACAGCCCCAACATCTAAGCCTTCAACTTGCACGCACACACACACACACACACACACGAGGCTCACACTGCCATGAGTTGGAATTTGCATCCCTGCGAAGCCGTAGACCGTACTGTAATTAACATACGACGGATGAGATTTAAGCATGCTTTCCGACTTGAAGCATGAACAGACGGCAGCCTTTCGATGGTTGTGACACCATAGCATCCAGCCCCGTCGGGATCGTGACAAAGGAAGGCACGGCATTCAGCTTATATAAATCCCTCATCCTCCGACCAAGCTTCTGCAGCTCTCCCAACATGAAGCATATAATAATTAGCGCTCTGAACGGGAGGCAACGATGGCCACAAGCAATTATTCTATGCTTGGCAACAGAAGAGGCAGCCGTAAACCCTAAAGCTCACAAGCGGAAGATGTCGGACCTTGCAGCTGCCAGCACACAGCTACGCAGCGCGGGATTTGACTGTGTTGTCGTCGCTTTCTGCGCCACCTGCCGGAACCGCGCATTTAGTGTTTTGAGGCTGTAGTTCTGGGGAGTAAGCGGCTTCGACTCTCACAACTCTGCGGACATGATGAGTTGTTTCGCCCAATGCTTCCAGGCATCGGCAAGTTCAACCGACTCCACATTGGATCGAGCTTGATCGGAAGATCACAATCTATGGTCCGGGTTGATGGGAATATTGAGCACATTCGCGAGCTTCTTGCACTCAGCCAAAGATGGCGATTTCTGCCTGTAGACTGATCTTCTCCTAAGCTTCGTAAGCTAGTAAATGGCCCCTTTTTTAACACTCGCACTCGACGCATCAGGCGAGGGTTTAGGGAATGGCCCCTTACAGCAGCTGACTGAAGCTGTAGCAGAGGACAAGTGTAGGCATACAGCGGCACTATTGCTTCCTCCTTTGGAACAGCTACGGCAGGAAGCATGAGCTTATAAACTTGACTTGCACATATTGCCTGCTGCACTTCTCCATCAAGGACCCCCACTGAAGCCCCTGCCAAATCCTCGGGAAAGCCAAAACAAACTTTACAATCCTGAATCCGTGCTTCATGTCTTCAATCAAAGTAGCTGTCAAAGAACAGCACCGACGACTACCACAGCGCTAGCAGGAGTAGGCATCATGATAAGAAGCCCCACCTGCAGGAACTCCTGGCTCAGCTCTTTGGTCGAAGCTGCCGGGCCAAGGACCAGCACGACCGCAAGCAAGTGCCAAAAGCTTGCATGGCTCGTCCCTTGTGCCAGAGCCTCGGTGTAAAGGACGGCGATAGTGCGGAAATGTTGACGGTAACCTGAAGTCAGCACAACCTGCACAGCACTTCGAGTGTTTTTTGCCTACATCGCAATGACGATCCCTTCGAGGCTTCGGGCTCGAGCGGCTGCTAGGGCATAGGGCCTTCGTCCTTCGTCGTGTATCCTTTGAGATGAAGAATCAAGGTTTACAGTCTCGTGTGCTGAGGTAGCCGATGCTTCAGAGTTCAGTAAGAGCTTGAACTTAACATCATGCCTGGCTGAGCGGTGATTCGAGATTTGGGCATTCCGGAAGGCCATTGGAGAGCGATTGGGAGGCGTGCAAGGCCTGAAGAACTCAGTCAAGAATCTTTCCAGGAATTTTACATTTGACCATAGGTTCCTTTCTTAGAGCAACAGCCTCAAGAATCGAGGGTCAGACATCTGCAAGGAGTGTTATACACTAATATTAACGTCTGCTTGCAAGAGCTTTGTCTAGAAGGCCCAAGCCACAAATACCCTTTTATCCTTCAAAGCCTCGAACCTGGACCCTAGAGCCGCTTCTACACACCAAGGCACGGCCCTCACGTAGTCTGCAGCGCTGTGGACCCTGGCTTGGGAGAGGCATGGACAGATATTTCAATCGAGAATTTGGAGTTGGTGGACATTGGATGTAGAGGGCTCAGAGCTTGGCCCACTGGTCTCTGGCATGCGAGTTGTTTTGGGAGCTGGTCTGGGTTCGGGCCCTTATGCATCGCAGCCAATGGCTTTTTTGAAGAGGGGCTGCCCTCAGGCCCACCTCACCTCGATGCTCCAGCAATCAAATATTAATCGCATAGATCAGGGAAGACCAATGCTACACAGCCGGAGGTGCAAGGAGGTACGTACATACATCCAAACCAAATAATGCAATGGTCATCTAGCACGTGGGTAGTGCCACAGACGGAAGATGTAAAAGATGTGAGATCTTCGGATGAGCAGTGGCCCCTCTACAGATGCCAAGAACCAGACAGCATTCAAGTCAGCTCGGCCATGTCGGCGCCAAAACCACAAATCCCAAGGTCTGATTTGGGCATCAACAGGCCCATGCTGCCCATGCCCGTATGCCTAAAGCGGCCCTCATTTGTTCTGAGCATGCAGCAGCTCAAAACTCCCGAGGCTCTGAGAACAAGAACATGATCAATCTTCAAACCTTGCAGAACCTAGCATGCCCCGAAGAGGGAATAGAACCGGGTCTTACGGTTGGCAATAGACACCAATCGCTGGCCTAAGCCCAACGCCCAAGTGCAGAACTCTTGGCCATCCCAATGCCAGACTCCCTGTGCCCATCTTCGCCCAGTCGCAGCGCTGCAAGTCCAGCACTGGCTGTTATGACTGGCAGGTTTTCCACAATACCTGCTAGCGTTCGGGGCTTCAGATGTAGGCGTAGGTTGTAAGGCGAATGGCTGAAGGCTTAGAGGCCTCGGAGTGGGTGAGGAAGGCCTTGTTTCGGGTCTGGGCTGTCTTGCGGCAGCAGTTGGGATTCCAGGCCCTGAGGTCAGTGCTGAGGGAAGATACGGTAGATCTGCGAAGCGGTGATATTCTCTGTCCTGCACTACCCCGTGCGAAAGGATAGCCAAGCATGTGATCGCTGCCACAAGCCGTTCCTGATCGTTTTGGTCCACCATATTACATGGGTTGGTTCTTCCTGAAGAAATGGAGGAGTGTAAGTCCAGAAGTTATACAAGCTCAAGTCCGATGGAGCCAGAGCCAGAGCCTGAACGACTGCTCTTGCAGCTATACTAACCCAGAGGATGATGTTCTTCGGAGTCTTCGCCTGGAAACAATGAGCTGCAAACTTCTGACCTTGCCTTTTCATTCCACTCTTCTGCCGGGAACTCCAACGAGCCACGGTTGTTTCGATCCGGAATCTTCCGTTTGCTCCCACACCCACCGACGCTTGGGCCTCGACATCGCAGAAAACTTGTAAAAGCAACTTCAACTTACACCATAAAGAAACGTAGCTGCCGTCGTCCCTCCCTGTTAACAGCAACAGCAAGACCACCAACGCCAACACCAATGCCAACACAACCCAAACACCAACACCCACACCACCGCCGCCACCACCACCACCGCCGCCACCACCACCACCGCCGCCACCACCACCACCACCACCACCACCACCACCACCACCACTTCTTCCACAAATACTTCACCACTACCACCGCCACGCCGAACACCAGTACCACCACCACCACCACCACCACCACCACCACCACCACCACCACCACCACCACCACCACAAAACCAAGAACCAAGAACGAACAACCAACCACCAACAAAAAACCAAAACCATACAACACATAAGACACAAAACACATCAAACAACAGACAACACACAACAAAGACCAAACACCAAACACCAAACAACAACGAACAAGCAACAGGCAACAAGCAACGAACAACAAACACCCAAAAACAACCAACAACCAACAACCAACAATCCACAACAACAACAACAACAACAACAACAACAACAACAACAAGAACAAGGCAGCACGTGCGTTTGCCGCCGCGCGGGGTGTGTCGTTTATGTTTGGGACGTTTTTTCTGTCAAAGCCGAAAAGCGTTGATATGTGTATGGTTTTCGTGAACAGGAGGGTGCTTGGGAGCATGTATTTGTCCAAGTTCTTTGTCTTGGATATTTGCTTAGGTTTTTTTGCGAAAGAGTCGCAAACACCGTATTTTCGTTTTTTCTGGTGCTTGATTTTTGTGTTCATTTGTCAAGTTTTTGTATGGAGAGGAGAAAAAACGAGAGTTTTTGGATGGTTGGCGTTTCAACAGTAAGCTATCAACGAGGGCAACAATGAGCAGTCAGGTAGCAACCTTGTCATCTTTATTTTCATCAATGTTATCAGCTTAGGTATCGTCATCGGCAGTCGTATCTGCGGCAGCAACAAGCAACATCGTCAACAGCACATGAACAGCATCAACATCTGAATCAGCGTCATCTGTACAGTGAACAGGCGTATTTTCGTTTCTTAGCTTCTGGGTGGCCGTTTGGGGCGAGGAGACTCAACATCTCCACCAAGGCACAACAACAGAAAGACAGCAGAAACAAACCGCATTCGCATGGACGTCATCATCCCCCGCCCATCCCCTCATCCCCACCAAGGCACAACAACAGAAAAACAGCAGAACAAACCGCATTCGCGTGGACGTCGTCATCCCCACCCCCTTCCCCCCATCCCCACCAAGGCAGAACAACAGAAACACAACAGAA